CCCCCCCCCAACATGATGCTGCCACCACTGGGGATGATATTCTCAGGGCAATGAGCACTGTTGGCTTTGTGTCACATGCAGGAGCCCTGGTGGCATAGTTTTCAGAAAGTCATGTGTGTCATGGACAAAGGTCCTCTGCTCCACTGAGACTAAAAGTGATATTTTTTGGCCTTGCCACAAATAGCAATAGCAAGTACATTTCTATACCACTTAGCAGTGCACTTAAGACTCCCTAAGTGGTTTACAATGTGTAAGCTAAACAAGCTGGGTACTCCATTCATTGGCCATCCATCCAATCAACAGTACACCACATTCCCATCACTTTGTCTTTTCCAATACAAGACTTATTCATCAGAAGTACTCCTTATGTCCCCTGGTTCCCCTTCTCAACATTACTTAGTTCTAGACTTAGTTTCAGATTTTGGAAATGTCAACTTTTTGACTATTTAGAGTCTCTTATTGAGTAGAAGATGAGATTTATAAGTCAAAAAGTAGCATTTCCAAACTCTGATTAGCCCCCCCTCAGTTCTCTATCCTTTCTATCAACAGTAACAGCTCCAACTGTTTTAGGCCTCAAATTACATTTTAATCAAACCAACCAGACCATCTGCTTTTCTAATAGTAGCTGCTCCTAGGTCACATCAGAAGTTAGAATATTTATAACCATTCTGTGTAATCACAGCAGTTAAGGCAGAAAAAGCTGCATTAAAAAAAAAACACCTCATGTTACCAAGAATATTCAAAGATCCTGTAAATTAGTCGGCTCTCGGCTTCCACAGGTTTGTCTTTCACAGATTTGACTACCTGCGAGTTTATAACTGCCTCTGCCATCGGTCTACAAGCCTTTCCCCTGGACTGGATGAGGGAAAATAGACTTAAGCTGAATCCAAACAAAACGGAGGTACTCCTGATAGGTAACCCTAACCCGGGTATGGAGATAAGTTCACCAGTCCTGGACGGGGTCACACTTCCTCAAAAGCACTGTGTTCGCAGTTTGGGGGTGCTCTTGGACTCGTCGCTTCAAATATTACCTCAGATTGATGTGACGGCTAAGAGTATCTGTTATCAGCTTCGGCTGATACGCCAGCTGCATTCCCTACTTGGAGCCACGGGACCTAGAAACAGTTGTACATGCGCTGGTAACCTCTCATCTCAATTTCTGTAATGCGCTCTACATGGGGCAACCCTTGTGCCACGTTCGGAAGCTTCAACTAGTATAAAACATGGCAGCCAGACTGGTCACAGGAAAATCCAAGTTTGACCAGATAACACCTATTTTGAAATCTTTACACTGGCTGCCTGTTACCTTCCAGGCACAGTACAAGGTGTTGGTTATTACCTATAAAGCCCTACATGGCTTGGGTCCAGCTTGCTTGAAGGAACAGCTACTCCCATATAATCCTTCCCGCATACTCAGGTCCTCTGGAAAGAACTTACTACAGTCAAGGAAAACTAGACTGGTGGTGACTTCCCAGAGGACCTTTTCAGCTGCCGCTCCTAAAATTTGGAATGACCTGCCGGAGGAGACTCGTCAAATTACATCTCTTGATGTTTTTAAGACAGCGATAAAAACAATCCTCTTCCGAAGGGCCTTCCCAGACTGACCTCTGCCCTGAACAGAATAAACTGCCCATTTGATCTAGCTCCCCTAGACATTGCCACTGTTATTAACTCTTTTTGGGGTTTTTTTTCTGTTATAGGGATTTTATTGTTGCAATTTTATATCGAAGGGAGGGTCGGTCGAAGGGGTGGGGGGCATTGGGGATTTTTTTTCTTTTGTTATTATTTCTGCATTTATTTTAATTTTTGCTGTTACCCGCCTCGATCCTCAACAGGGAGAGG